GGGGGGGGGATGGAGAGACTGAAATTTAATTGGAAACTGAAATATATGCAGTACTTTCCTAGGAAACCTAAACCTATTTTACTGCTTTTACAATATAAAGCATAGGATTAATAAATTAGCCCACATATAGAGTTGTAATGCATGGCATATTTATAAAATTTATAAGCATAATTGCCTTAGCTTTCTACAAGTAGAACTGCAAATATACGTAGTACTTGATGGATGCCCTGCTGCATGTCTCCATATTACACATTTTGAGTAGCACCTTATCTTAAAAAGCATTTCACTTTTTCAAAAGACTATTTCATGGAAGTTATTTTTCAGAGCTCCACAAAACTTCCATTTTTGGTTGGAAAACTGGAGAAAAGTTGTGTGGGGGGGGGAGAAATCCCAGGCTATTTTCTGATTTTTCTCTTCTTGCTTTGGGGAGGACCTTTACTCCTCAAAAGAAGATCCCTGAAAACATAAAAACAGCAGAGAGTAAAACAAAGTTTGAGTCCAGGGACACCTTTAAGACCAACCAAAGTTTATTCAAGGTATAAGCTTTCGTGTACAAGCACACTTCTTCAGATACAATGAAACGGGAATTACCAGTCCATACATATAAGTAGAGGGCAAGCAGTAAATTAGCATACAGCAGAATGAAGATGTTTAACAGATTCAAGTAGCAAGCAGAAATAACAAGCTTAGTTTATATGGTTACCATTTGTTTGGGTTTAATTGGGGGGAAACATAGTGAAGGAAATAAATATGTCAGAATTGGAGATTGTTGGGCAGATGTATCCTTAATTGTGGTATACTGAGAGTGAGTGAGACCCTACCATTATGCTCTATCTGTCTCCACTCAGGCATGGAGGCGACCTTAAAGGATCTTCTTCTTTGAAGTGGGACAATTGGCTGTGTAGAGTTATCTCTCCTGTCCCCAGACCAGAGAAATACATTCCAATCTACCATTCCAAATTGCATTACGTTCTACTATTAATAATGTTACATTACGATCTGTTGTTCCCATCTATTATTCTAAATAAGAAATAAAGAGGACGTATGGCCCTTCTGGGGGATTAGTGAGAATACAGATGTAAGGGTTTGGGGTGGATGTAAATTGGAACGAATGTAAATGTCTTCATTATGCTGTATGCTGATTTACTGCTCACCCTCTACCTATATGTATGGACTGGTAATTCCCATTTCATTGTATCTGAAGAAGTGTGTGCGTGCACACGGAAGCTCACACCTTGAATAAAAAACTTTGTTGGCCTTAAAGGTGTCTGACCGGACTCAAACTTTGTTCTGCTGCTTCTGATCAACATGACTATCCCCGAATCTAGCAGAGAGTAAGCGAGAAAGGTTAAAAGCAGAGAGGGAAAGAGAGAGGTTAAAAGCTTTCCATTGTGGTGATATTTTTCTATTTGAACAGAACTGTCTTGGGGGAGGAACATTCAAAATGGGCACCCATCACCAGTAGGCGATTGCAAACTGGCCACAGCACATGCAAAAATAAATAAATAAATAAATAAATGCATTCTACCATCTCGTTTTCTGGCATGTGAAAACTGACCTCCATCTTGCTGAAATTTTGCAAATTAAAGAAGATTAGGATTGTGTTTGTGAAATGAAAAAAAGGTTAAATTATCTTACAAATCTTGACAGCAGTTTTAGAAGACATTGGCAGAGCATATTCCAGCATATTTTGTAGTAATAATAAAAGCTAGAATGTAAACCATATCTCATTAACATGGTATTGATTTGTTGTGCATGCAAACTCTACCTTGTCTGCACAAGGATTCTAATTCCAGTGGTTTCCTGACATGTATATGAGTCTCACCCAGAGAAGGACAACAAGAGATTGCATCTGAACTTAATCCATGTAGTTTGGAGAGAATTTGACTATATTCTAGTTTCTGACATATTAGATAGCAATATCATGTAGCTTATAGCCATGGGGAAATATTATAAGGCAAAACGAACAGAAAGTGCTCGGATGTATATTTGTCCTTCAGATTGGTGTATCTTGTAAGTGTAAAGCATGTGAAATGAGAATTCTGTAGCCTTTTGTGTTTGCTCTTAGATCAGTATTGTTGTCTAGGAAACACACAGTATGATAAGACATAAAGATCTTGCTACTAATAAAGTGTTGGGTGGATTACAAATGATAATGTTAACTTCCTTTAGCCACAACAGTGATTTAATGTTTCATGTCTCAAAACTAACATTATGAACTGAACTTGTATAATTTCTGTCAGACCCATATTTTAGCCTTCCCTGTAATGTTAGGCTATGGAACACACTGAAGTTTTTGGACAGCATAAGAACCTAAGAGGAGTCAATGCTGGATCAGGCCAGTGGCCTCTCCAGTCCAACACTCTGTGTCACACAGTGGCCAAAAACACCATGGGCCCTCAGGAGGTCCACCAGTGGGGCCAGGGCACTAGAAGCCCTCCCAATGTTGCCCCCCCCAAGCACCAAGAATACAGAGCATCACTTGCCCCAGACCGAGAGTTCCTATCTATACCTTGTAGCTAATAGCCACTGATGGACCTCTGCTCCATATGTTTATCCAATTCCCTCTCGAAGCCGTCCATGCTTGTAGCCACCTGTCAGGATTCTGGTTAAATCAGTTCTCAACACCCGTCACTTCAAAGAAAGCTAACTTTATTGAGACTATGATAGCCGACTTCCGGTTTATGGCGGTGCGCTAGCAGACTCACCTCCCGGACCTCCCGGGGGTGAAACTGCGCTCCAGCCGAAGAAGGGGGTGCGCAGGCTTGCAAAACCCCCCCAGGGGCCCGGCGAAGGGACCCTGGCCATGGAACTTTTAAGAGGTTGCCTCTTCGACGGCGGAATGCCGGATAATTGGGGCGCCTCTTCGTTCCGATGGTTCTCCGTGCTGTGAGACCGTATGGACTTAGTGACGCTGACCGGGGCAAGCGCAGATCGTGTGGCAGAAATGAAATGAAAGCGAGGTCGAATGACCGATTATGAACGTGAGTCAATTTCGAAGCGTTTTGTAAAGGGAAAAAGATAGCTCCCCACCCCACAGAACGGGAAAAAGGCGAGCAGGGGAGGGACGCCTCCCATGCGCATGAACTTTTGAGCGATTGAGGGGGGCAGCGGAAGAAAATGCGAAGGAAACTGCCTAGAAGTACTTACCAAAGCCAATCTAAGCCGTCAAGCGCACATTCAGAGACTTTTTAAAAAATTGTGAAAGTAAGCAAACGATAAAGATGGCGGGGAAGAAGGACAGAGAAAAACTTTTGAAAGCGAAAGGGTCTGAGAGCCCAAAACTGGAAGTTACCAGTGAAGTAGCGGATTATATGCGCCCTCTGCTGGAACAGCTGAATAACTTCAAGGAACAGATGTCTATAGTGACTCAAAGCATTACTGCACAACAAACCCAAATAAACGATTTGATACAAATAATGAAGCAAGATGCTGAGAAGGTAAAGGAAATGGCTGTAACTACCCAGAAGATGAAGAAAAAAGTGCTAAAGCTGGAAAGGAA